GTGGGCGGGAGGGAGGGGGGACACATCCTACTCCCCTAGCCCCTGCTCAGCTTATTCTATGGGGAAATGGAAGTGCATGGGCGTGTTTCCCTCCCTGATGCTCTCACGTACCAGCAGATGCTGTCCCTCACTTGGCCAGGCCTGCAGAGTGCTGGCACTTATGGCCAGTCAGTGCAGCATGATGTCAGGGCATAGACCTCTGCTTTTATTTCCCTTCAGAGAGCTCTCCTCTGCAAAGTGACTCAATAAACACAGGGCCCCATTTATAGTCTTCCATTGACTCCAGATCAAAGGGGATCAGTTTACAAGGACAACACTGTTTGTTTATGCTGCCAACCCTTTAAACTCATCCGCTGAGAAAAAACACTCCTTCCAGCTCACACATTGACACCAGGAATCAAGGGTTTGCCAGCCAAACTAGTCTTTGGTTACTCCTATGCCACCTACCAGTGCTCACACTCTCCTTCTGGTGACACCTGCACAAATGCATTGTTGTCAGTAGGCCCCTGCAGGGGCTGCCACTCACTGACACTTAAGAAACAATTCGGTCAATGATGCACAGGAAGAAATATAACTGGGCTGGTTGGCTCTGCAGGGTGGAAGCAATAAGAACTGGTTTTAGCTGCCAGTGGAATCAACATCTGGCAGCTACTGGAGTCAAGAGGGAAGGGCCATTTTTACACAGCAATTTTTCTAAGTAAGCCCACATTTCACTGTTGTCTTATCAAAAAAAACCCTTAATTACAGTAGATGCTTAATGACTACTGATATAATTAATGTTGCAAAACTGTTGCCATTACAACCTGCTGTTTTCACACGCTCCTAACTTTCAAAAATGATTCACCTTCAGGGCTGCAGTAATTTTCCAGACTTAGCCTCTGTGTGATGAAGGGTGCAGGGGGGAGTTGTTGTATTTTGGAAAGTTAGGAAAACATGTCTTCATTTGTTATCAAGTTCAGTGCGGGGAGAAAAATAGGACGTAAAAAACCCCAAATGCCCCCCCTTCCTCCTATTATACATGTGATTTCATGGGAGATAGATGCAGCAAAAATGTCAGTGGTCTGAAACTTGGCTTGGATACAGCTTGCCTGGGAACTACTGTCTTTCCTTGACTGGAGAAATATTAATTTTAATTAAAAAATGTTATGACTGCATGCAAACTGGATCCAACACACTCATCAGCAAATTAGGCACCGGCTTAAAGATGCACAAGGCGTGTGCAAACAACTTCCTAGCTCCACATGTAGGGAAACCAGTGAGTTTACAATGTTTATCACTTGAGTGACTTCACAGATTTCCTTCAAATCTAGGATGCTTGCTAAAGTACCCTAGGAAATAAGTTTTTTAAGCCAACTCAGAAAACACTGGGTTTAGTAGTTTGAATGGAGAAGAATAGACTTGAAATTCAATGCTCTCTGTGTCCATCTGCGCATCACAGCACTCATTAATCCCCAGTGTGCAATGCACAATGAAGTCAAGCATCCCAGACATCAGTGAGTCCCCTTTCCTTGTAGCAGGACTGGGCTCTGTGAGGAGGGAGATCACTCTGTGTAGGGATAATCATGTTTTGCTGTTACCAGGGCACTTATACACGTGCAGGGAGGTGCTCCAACACACTGGAATTACAGCGCATTGGAGCAGACTCAATTAGTGTCCTCTGCTGGAGTCTCATGTGTCAGCATCCCCACACTTCAATATGGCAGTGAGTTCACTTTAACTGAAGTTTGTCAAATGAGCTGTAAAGCACCCCACCATGACTTTGAACTGCAGGGATCCTGATTCATGAGACACTGCAGGCACTTTAATTAGAGCAGCTCTCAGAGCCGCTTTAATTAAAGGATCCTGCCCCATAAAAATGTGTGAAAATGTTCAAGATCTCTAATGTTAACAGGGCACTTAAGAATGCAAGCCTGGAAGAGGCCCACTCAGTCATTGAGTCCAGCCTCCTATCATGCTATGGCCAGCAAACACATGACATAATCACTCTGAGGGGCTGGTCAATCTTCATCCTAAGAGCAGTCGGGCATTTTGCCTTCATTGTTCCCACTGAAATGTTGTTCTAGAACCAATATGGTTTAATAATTTGGAACCTTCTCTTAATGTCCATCCTAGCATTATCCATGGCCAGGTTAGACCCATGCCCTACTCCTGCAAAGCTGGCTCTACAAATCACTGATCATCAGTAAGAGGTGCTCCCAAGCAGAAGAGGGACTGTTTAAGAAGGTTCAACAGTAGGACATAACTAGGAGCAAATGAGATAAAATGGGTGGGGAGGAGGCAGTTCAGGCAGCCTGTGAGAAGGCATTTCCACACAGTGTGGGGCTGTGATTGTGCTGGAGCTCTACTGCTAGAGACACTTACAGGCTGGATTGCTCCCAAGAATGGAGGATCAGCTGCAGGTGAAACACAGTAGTGGGTGGATGGGAGATAGACTAGCTACAACTCCACAGGCCTTTTATATCACTGATTCTTATCATTCTTCCCGGGCTCCAAGTCAAAGCCCATCCCTTTTCCCTGTGAAATTACTTCTTTCAAAGGGTGCTGCAGGTCAGAACAGGGGTGAGGGTGTTAATGCCATCCTGTTCCCTAGCAAGTTGGCACAGGGGTTCTTGCTATCGCTTTTTTTTTGCTAGGAGCAGATCATATTGCACCTACGAGGCACGAAAGTTCCCTAAGTGCAGTTCTGTTTTATCCTGTTTGAGTCCCTGTAAAATGGTTAATGCAAAAAAATGGGTGGGTCCTCCTCCTCTCTGTTGTTGTGTGACTCAGTCTTAAGGGTGTGATGCTGGGGTTAACAAAAATAGATGCATTAATAATGTTCCCGGGCCTTAAATAGGGTAGAATAGAAGCACTGTTAGGCATCCAAGTCCATGTAGATGTCAAATAGGTTTGATAAGACATGTTTAAGCTAGCTAAGAAGGCTCACCTGAGGTACCAGCGGTCTCCCAGTCCATACTCACGCCCACAGATCCCAGAGCGAGGCCAGAGGCATTGTGGAAGTTTCCGCTCCAGCATGACTGTTGTGGCAACAACCTGCAAAATGCAGAAAAAAAGAAAATGATGTTAGCAAAGGGGTAAGAGACACCAGAAGAAAAGGATCCATCCTAGGAACAAGCCACAGCGAGATCTCCGGCCCAAGTGTAGACTCAGTATTTCTCATAGTTACTTGTTATGAAGCACCTACACACATGGCTTAGTCAGCAAAGTTCTGGGCAGAAGCAAATTCCTTTGCAGTAGTTTATTTCCATTTTAGGATCCCCTCATATAAATACAGACACACACATGAATGTATGAGAGCCATTGCTAAGAACTCCACTCTCCCCTCATGGGACGAACCCACAAGTCTCCTCATATGAGAATGACTCTCAGAAGCCAAATTCATTCCCTCCTGGGTCACATACATACACTCCCACAGCCAGGACCCCCAACCCTGCCCTCTCCTGCCTCACACAGAGTCTCTGCCCATGTATTGTGACTATGCACCGCCCTCACCTGAGCTCTCCACAGCTCATCTCGCTCATGAGCCACACGCCAGTGAGTGTCCCCCATCATGGCAATGAGCAAGTTCAGCATGAGGAGGGTGGCGATGACAGCAAAGGCAGAGTAGGTGATGCCATACATGAAAGGCAGGTCCACTTCATAGTTGGCAGGGCCATCAATGATAGTGAGGAAGAGCTCAAAGGTGCTAAAAAGTGCCATGGGGTAGTTGTAGAAGTGTCCTAGTTCATCAGGGTCCTGGGTCTGGAAGATGATGTAGAAAGCTAGCAGAGAGAAGAAGTGGAGGAAAAGTGAGAGGAAGGCTCTGTTTCCACTGCCTGCTCTACCAGCTTCTGAAAACCTGCATCAAGTAACGAGGACAGAATCCAGCCCAAACACTGTAGCATGGTGGCCACCAATCCCAGGTGAATGCAACCACTCATCCCGGATGCAGGAAGGCATACCCTGTCTTAATGGCTCTTTTGTGCACCCCACAAACTGTGGGAGTCACAGCACACTTAAGACCTGAGTGCAGTCCAGGGCTCTTCTTGCTATGTTCTCACTTCATGATGCATCCACAGATCACATCATCAGACTGAGTTAGCATAAAATAATCATGGCAACATCAGGCTGGGATTACTTATCATGACAAGGCAGGTACTAATCTGGGGCCACCCCATAGGACATCCTAGCGAAGGTATGAATGACATCATTACTGCCTTTTTTCTGCCCGCTGCCCCCATCTGGAGGAGATACACATGTTCATCCTGTCTGAGATGTTGCTACTGCTCTAGAACTGGGCTCAAGGCCCATCAGCCCCTAACTCTTTTCCTCCATGTCCACTTGGCTGAGATCCCACAAAAAGGTTACCTTCTATGTAACTAAAGCTATGACTTCACAGGCAGGTAATGTCAGCCCATGAATAAGAAGATAGGTTGGCTAAGACTGAGGGAATTCACTAAGACAGGAGATAGAGAAATGAGAAGAAAGGAAAAGCCAGGAAAAGGTGGAGACAAGGAAAATAAATAGCAAGGAGTAGGAAATAGAGGAAAAATACAACAGGCAGGGCCGCAGGTCCAAGCAGGCTCAGCAGTACATAGGGAGCTCCAAAACTTCTCTTCAATCCTAACTCATAAAGGGAGCTAGGGTCTGAGCAGCCCTTTCCTGGCAGCTGCTCCATAAAGCCCTGTCCTTTACATTTCAAGATCTTCCTCCTCACGCCTCTACTATCTTGAAACTGGGTTTGTGCTGTTCCTTATAGACTCCATCGATAATGTCACACCAACCTGATGCAAAGCCGAGGATCACCACTGCCATGAGCCAGCAGAAACGCATGAGGTCACCAAATATCATCTGCAGGTGGAACAAAGCAGCAGGCGTAAGACCCAACAAAAGCAAAAGAAGACAGGTGCTTCTGAGACTGAAGGGCTTTTCATATGTCTACAGAAAGTAAGGCAGAAGGAACCATCCAGCCTGACCACCTGCATAACACAGGCCAAAGCATTTCTTCCACTAAGCCCTGCATTGAGCCCTGAATCTGGTGCCTGACTGAAGCAGGCAGACCTCCAGACTTCATGTGAATACACCAAGGGGCAGAGAAGCCACCATTTCCTTTGGTAGCTTGTTCCATCAGATAAGCACACTCCCTATTAAAAGAATGTACCCAATTTCTAGCTTGAATTTATCTGGTGTTGGCTTCCATCCAGGGCTTCTTCATAAGCGTTACTCCACTAGGTTAAAAAATGCTTTATGGTCTGGCATTTCCTCCTCAGGAAGGTATTTATGTGCCATGATCAGGATGATTCTTGTTGTTTCTTTTGGGAATCTAAACTAATTTAGCCATTTAAGTTTCTCTTCACCAGGCATTTTTTTCCAGCCTTCACATCACTTTTTTGTCTCTCTCTGCTTTGTCCTTTCCCATTTTATAACATTCTTTTTAAAACCTGGAAGTCAGAATTGGACACAGTATTCCACTGTCAGGCTAACACACACAGGTGTAAAAATCAATCTATAAAATGCATTGTCTTATACAATTGATTCTGCCCTGGCACCCTTTTATGATCCTTTTAAGGGCTACACAGGGTGCTATGCAATATTAGCACCGTTGGCTTTGCAAGTACCTATACATGATTCACAAGACAAACCCAGAAATTTCAAATAAAAATCTATAGTCAAAAGCATTCTGACCTGTTGTGGTCTTTCTAGGTTCTTTGCAACAGACAAATTGCTCTATTATTCTTCCGTAATCAAAAAAAAAAGAGTGAAAGCTGGGATTTGGCATTTTCTGAGGACGCCTTCAATTTAATGAGGGGTCTCTTGAGTCTTAAAAGCTTGAGAACCATTGTCCTATACAACATATTTTGCTTTTACTGTGCAGCCCAGGTTATTTGCTATGACTGCTCTGTCCTCACCTCAGTTTGACACTCCAGTCTTTATGTTGCCTGAATATTTTATCAGCAGCACTACTGTGCTTACTTCCAGATCACTGGTGAAGACAGTGAATAAGACCCTTCATTGTGTGGGCCCAAAACATAAGTCCCCTCCTACCCTCCCCAGCAAATTTTTTTCTTTCTATATGTTCCTGACAGCTGTTCAGGGAATGGTTCTGCCTGCTGTTTAGTTCCTTTAGGTGGCTTGTGACACACTCCACACCCCCTCACACCTCCATACTGTTGTTGCTGCTGCCACCACCACCACTACCACCTCCTGGGCTCAGCCTCTGCTAGTTATTACATGGACCCATGTGCATTCAAGGTCCAAAAATCCAGACTTATCGGTAACTCTACACCCGACAGTGGTATTTCTACTGTTGTATCATCAGCCCATCTACCCTGGTCTCACTTCCTACCATCCCAAATCAGATCTATGTTCCATACAGGTTGGTGCCTCTGTTACATTTGATCAGGTTGTTGGTTTACTTCCCCTGAGCTGCCTGTTTCTTATCCATCTAGTGCTTGGTGGTATGGGCACATTCTATTACTAGGAGAGAGGGTTCTTCACTTGCTCTTCCTACTGTCAGTTTGGAGAATTGCCTAAAAAAGTCTTCATCCTAATTAACCTTCAATATAAAGATCAACCGATGCATCTCAAGCAAAACTAAGGAACTTATTCTCCTGCTCTTCTTGGCATTGGTGAGGCCACAGCTGGAGTATTGCATCCAGTTCTGGGCACCGCATGTCAAGAAGGATAAGGAGAAGTTTGAAAGAGTCCAGGAAAGAGCCACTCATACGATTAGAGGCCTGAAGAGCTAGCTATATGAGGAAAGGCTGACAGATGTAGGACTGTTCAGCCTAGAAAAGAGAAGACTTCGGGGGGATTTGGTGGCAGCTTACAAATATATCAGGGGAGAGTATCCGGAGCTAGGCAAACAACTATTCACTAAAGTGCTCCAGGGGAAAACTAGGAGCAATGGTCATAAACTCATACATGAAGGTTTCTGACTGGATATAAAGAAAAACTTCTTTATGGTTCATTTGACCAGACTCTGGAATAGACTCCCGGGGGGGGGGGGGGGGGGGC